ACACACACCAGTCAATTTGGGTCTTTGCATTGCTCTGTATCTATAGTGTCTAAAACCAACTGGTGTTTAGAGATGGGAAGCATACTGGCAATGCCACATGCTACACGCCCTTAGCTGGAGCTCTTAAAAGGTGATCTCTGATATGGTTTTTGAGCCAGAAATTGAGCCAGAAAGCAATCACAGGGGTTTATTTCCAATCCAGCCAGAAGGGAAGCTGGTACCAAAAATAGACACATAACCAAATTGACTGGTGTGTGTCTGCATTTTTGAATGAGAGGAGATTCCATCTGAGCATTAGGAAGAACTTCCTGACTGTGAGAGCCGTTCAGCAGTGGAACTCTCTGCCCCGGAGTGTGGTGGAGGCTCCTTCTTTGGAAGCTTTTAAGCAGAGGCTGGATTGCCATTTGTCAGGGGTGATTTGAATGCAATATTCCTGCTTCTTGGCAGGGGGTTGGACTGGATGGCCCATGAGGTCTCTTCCAACTCTTTGATTCTATGATTCTATGATTCTATGAATACAGAGACATGAGATTTTATACATTTGACTGTTATTCAAACCTTCCCACTCCACCTGCTCCCTTTCCTGATTTTCCAAAAGAGGGGCCGGCTTGAATCCATGCTCCAATTGGCTGGCATTCCGGTGACATTACCACCTTCTTTTCTGCATGCTAAACGTGCCCAGCTCTTTAAGCTGCTCCTCATAGGACTTGTTCACCAAACTCTTGATCCTTTGAGTCGCTCCACTCTGAACACATCCAAGCTAAGAGTCAATGTCCCCCTTCAATTGCATTGCCCAGAATTGGACACAGTGTGATTCTAGGTGTGGTGCCAAACTGCATTCATTCTACAGGGTAGATGACTCAAAGTCTCACCCTGTTTACCTTACTAGATCCCTGTTTTGTAATGTCCATTTGTGGACAAAGGAATTTATGTGTATATGTGAAGCTTTACACATTTGTGTCATTGTCTGTCTGAAATCTGCAAAGACGAAGAGGGATGAAAAGGGAACCTTAGAAGGCACCTTATCACACTGGCTATTCTTCTGACATCCTGTGTCTCCCAGGTATATGCAGGATTGTATTACATATGCTCCTAGGAGTCTTATAACATGCCAGTTACATATTAAAGAAGCACAATCACAAATCTTCCAAAGCAGAATTCAAGCCAGGAAGCAAGAAATGTGGGATGCTGGAATGAAACCAGAGTGGAGGAATTTGGACAAGATTTGGACAAGATTTGGGTTGTGGCAATGGTTATGTCTTCATTCCACATTTGTCCGGATATACCCCAGACGGGGCACAAGGTGAAGGAGATGGATTCAGGAGTGGCTGTGAATCCCTCCCATTTAGGGGACAATCTACTCCAGACTTTATTAACATCCCTCACACAATGACTCTGTGTCGTCGTGCCTGGGAGCTATAACTCTTAGTGAAAGAGGCATGGATGTGACATCTTTCCCCAGGGGATTGCTTCTTGCCCTCCTTTAGGAAAACTAGAACTCTCAAGGACCAAAACATTGTAGATGACTCAAAATAGGTTTTATTGTTCACAAAAAGTTATCCCTTTAAGACAATAAGCTGGAAGTTTCAAAGGGGTAAAGGAAAATATGCATTACAGTCTCTGGTTGTCTTGGGTCCAAGGAGTTTTGCAGCTGAAAAGCTTTTCCAGGTCCTTCTTTCTCAATGCCTGTGAATGCCGGAGCAATCCACAACCCCAGTCCAAATGGCCTATGTTTGAAGGCACAAAGTCTTCGTCTGGTGCCAAAGGACTGGTTTGAAGGTGCTTGAGACTTCCCAACGTCGTCCAGGGTGATCTGAACATGAAGCATAAGTCTCAACGGTAAGAACCTCAGAATTGGTGCTGAGAGGTAACATAATCAGGGGCTTTTAGAGCCAAGTCTCTTTCTCATGTCCATCTGATATAAAGTTTGATGGTGGAATGGAAAAGGAAAGCGCTCCCTTCCTCCAGGAAGAGGTGGAACCAAACAATTGAGCTGAGGCAGCAATAAAACTGGTGCAAGCAACATTGATTGACAGCTATAAATAACCAATCAATCCAACTATACATAGGCAGGGTAAAAAGGCAAAATCAGGCATGATACAAGTGTTCAAAACCTGCAACTTACAGTTCTCCATATAGGTGGTGCCATTCATGCCGTCACAGACTCTGAGTGGAACAGTTGGAATAAAACATGGATAGGACAATGGCCAAGGGCCGGAAGAGCTTCACTGTGGGATGGATGTGGATTGGCTGCATGTGAACTGCCTTGCCTCAGTTGAGCCAAGGCAGTTTGGTTCCACTTTACCTGCTTCCAAATAGCAAATGGTTCAGTTGCAATTCAGTTCCAGTTTCAGACATCCTTCACTGCAGGCTACAAAGGCCAAAGGTGATGGGTGCACCAGTCAATCCACACCTTCAGCCCCACGTTTTGCTGTCCATGTTCTGGAGAATTGGGCTGAAGAACGTAAACCACACTGGCATTTATTTCCATGGGTTGGCCAATGACCTGTGGATGAATAAACACAGAACATGTGAAATTTAGAGCAGCACATTTTCAACTTAAGCTCTCAAGATGTTTCCTACTTCAGGACTTAGATCTATCACTATTGACTTTGCAATCTGGGAGTCCAACACATCTGGAGGAACATAATGTGAGGAACGGTAACATGATCCATGTGCAGCATAGGTCCTTTCATGAAAGTCATTTCTTTTCTTCTAGTTTTAAACCACTTTTTTCTCATCCCAGAAGATGTACCATCACTTGTATGAATCCCACTCTCCTTTCAATGTTGAACTTAGGTCCAGGAGCTTCCAGAATAGTCATGTGTTTCCATCTTTGCGACTCAGTGACTACCCTGATGTTGCCAATGCATGAGCAAAAATATTTGCCTTGGAAGATATGGCAGTAAGCTCAATCCACCTGTTTCTCTTATCAGAGGTCTGAATTGGGTCTTTCATTAGCAGCGACAGTATATAATCTCTGGCTCTCCTTCGTCTCCGGAGGAAAGAGAACAGGAGAAGCCCTGACAATCTCCCGAGGAATCGCCAGTCGCCTGGAGGACAGTAAGTAAGAAACAGGATGGCTCAGAGATGTCCCGAGCATAGCAAGACCCCTCTCAGGGTGCAGCTACACTGTGGAATTTGACCCTCCTTTAAAGGCCATCTTTATATGCTATGTAAAGATGGCGATAAAGATGAGGAAATTCAGATATTGAATATCTTACTTGCTTTTTCAAGTTTATCAAAATATGTAGGAATGAGAACCTTTGTCGTGTGGAGTCCTTCAAGGTTCAGTACTGTCCCTGATATTGTTTAACATCTACATGAAGCTGCTGCGGGAGATCATCCGGAGTTTTGGAGTAGGATGTCATCTGTACACAGATTACATCCAAATCTATCACTCCTTTCCACCTGTTGCTAAGGAGGCTGTCCAGACCTTGAA